GTAGTAAAACTGGTCGTTTGATGAGGTCTGTATCTTTAGGAACCATTTTCTGACTGTTTACACTCCTTCTGATGTGAGTACACTAGTGAAAAGTGAAGTGACATTATAAGAGATCGGTGCTTTTCCTGAAGCCAGCCTCAAGTGTTGAACATTTTTGTCAAAATCTTGTTTATATATTATGTGGTGGGTTTGAATAAAGAAAGCCCTTCAGATACAAATCTCAACTATAAACCCTTCTTTTCGAAACCTTGTTTTGAATTACCATGTCCTCAGTGAGTGAGAATCTTCACCACCTTTTTAAAAGGAAAAACATTGTTATGAACAGATGTCAAAAAATAAATATCTTTAATAGAAAAGTTGTTCAACACATTTCAAATGATCAGTTGTTCCACATCCATTTCCTTTGTGTCATTCCCAGAAATTATTTTGTATTTTGTTCTTTCACAGTGTGTCTGTCAGGCATTTCATTCTATATCAAAAGCACTTTGTAGGTTGATTCAAATGCAAAATAGAAAACTAAACGGCAAACTAAATGAAACACGCAAAAAGATGTGTGCCGTGTTTGTTAAAATGGAAAAATAAGATTCCAGCAGAGTGCTTTGATAGAGCGCCGTGTGTCATCCCAGACAACTGTGGAGCTCTTGGTTATTGAAGGTCAGAGTTTAACCCTCTATTGAGCTGTTAGATGGACGTGGCAGGAGATAGGCGCAGCATTAGCCTATTGAGCCATCCTGGGTCGTCAACACATAAAGGCTATGCTGCTGTGTGCAGCAGAGAGGGGGGTTTCATTGTGTTCTTGACAGAGTTATAACTGTTTTATTTCCATCCAGAATTTTTATCCCTTATTTTGACAGATTTCCAAAGAAGGGGCTCTTAAACTGGCTCCACACTGTTACTTTTTAAGACTTTAAGCACTTCAAAATCCTGGAGTTTCCGCTACAGTTTTTTTTAGCAAAGACTCCACCACCCGCATAGGAATTTCTATGCTTCCAAGATTATTTTTAGAGCCTTATTTTTTCCTGGACTAATTTTAGACCCCTAGCAATAAATTTAACTTTCTTCACCTGTTGTGTTATTGAAAATACACCAGTGATAGTAAAAGACAGGTCTTGCTTTTAACAAGGTTTTATTTCCGTTTTTGTCACTTTTGCACATTGAGCTTTTACAACCTTTATCCTCTTTGTTGATGCAATGTCAAGCTGAGCCAAAGTCAGGCAACAGACTAACAAAACTTTCCCAGTTTTAATAGCAAGCCCATAGGGCCACATCTTTCTGCTTCCGCCCTCTCTGTGGGTCAAATTAGACGGTAGCACGGATCCGGGCCGCTGGTCTGCTCTGACACAGTCATAAATTCTGCTAACTGGCCCCACTTGTTCTGACAGGGCTATTTTGTGAGGTGAAGACAGAGGAGTTTGGACTATAAAGGGAACAGCGTTTCCTGTGTTTGCTCAGACAACTGCTGCACTGCCAAAAAATTGACCTTTTTTTACATCCATCAAGGATAATTCGCTTTGTCTTTTGAAATACGCAAAAGAACTAGCAGCTGGGATGAGCTAACTAAAGCGTAATTCAGTGTCTTCACTCTACAAGTGAAACAACCGAACCTTCAAATGAAATAGATGGTGGTCCTGGAGTCCCCAAGTATAGTTGTGGAGGTTTTGTCCTCTTTAGGTTTAGACTTTTTGCAGTGTAAAGGCCCTCGTCCATTCCCATGCCTCGCGCCCTTCTGTACATCTGTGGCCAAAGCCCTAAAACCTTTAAAGCCTTGTATGACTCAAACATAAGCTGCTTAATAATTTAATTCTGCTTGGAATCTGGCATGATTGAAAGGAACGGGATTATCACTTTTGGGGACTAATGCTGCAGGTTCAACAGGGGTTAGCCACTGTAGCATATCAATTAAAGCCAACAGCATGCATTTAAGATAATTTTAGTGACAATTAAAGGCAAAGGATTGTAAAGATGAAAGTCACTGAAAGTTGAGTATAAATTAACAGCTGAAATGTAGTTTAAATAAATCAAGATTTTAAAAAGCAATTTTTTCTTATAACTTTTTTCTTTGACAATGACATTTTCAGGGGTTAATTTAACACCAATACTAAGTTGAATAAATTGTTTTCATAACCGAGGCCCTGCTCTAGAGAAGATGTGCGGGTCGTTAATCATTCAAACAAAGATTGCGTTTAGAAGATCTTTAAAGAAGTTTTTGAAGTGGTTTGCGTTTGCAATTCAGCAGAGAGCAGAGGCAGACCATTTTCTATGTGTGTTCAATATGCAGAAGATATTCTAATGACAAGTTATTGGTGGAAGATATGCACATGTAAATGTTTGCCATCTGCAAAGCAGTTTTCCAGATCTTAACACCCAACTATTTGTGCTTCTTTTTTTACTACTTCTGAAAATTTGATAGAAACTAACAATGCCAAAACTAACAATAGGACAATAACATTATTAAAGAAAAAATGGCAACCTAGGCTGGCACAAAGAACTGCAGCGGGACAGCAGATAAATCAATAAAAATGACTGAGCTTAAATACAGTGGTTAACAAAATAGAATATCAAAAGAATTTAAAAACATAAATTTTCTTTGTGCATGTCTTTTTTTTAATTACTTTTGTTAGTAACATTTTGAGATAGGCCATAAGTACAACCTTATTTTGATATGGTAGGGATATATACTGTGAACTCTATGCATCCATCTTGATATATTCTTTTATAGCAAAAAGCGCGATGAGCTGACATAAACAGACGTGGCGCTGTCTACTGGCAGTACCGCTGATCTACCAGAAAGCCAGATGGTGACTGCAGCTACTAAATAAGCTCAGAAGATAGGGCTTAAAGCATTGCTTGCTACAGTAGCACTATTAGCAAGGACATGTACTCATGTGTCTTTCAACTTTCAAGCGACATCAGAACGCTTCCTGAACTTTAGCTAACTTCAGAGATCAGACTGTTTTCACAGCTCAAATCAAGGTCTGATTTCAGTTTTGGAACCTCACACCTTGTGTCTTTCTACAATTGATTGTTGACTTTTATCTCTTTTACACTTTTCTCACTTCTCTAAACTACACTGGGAGTTCCAGATCCGCTCGCCCCCTTTGCTTCGGCTTGTTGACCAATTGTACTTATGTGCAGTGACGTAATCCTAGTAACAGGATGTTGTTATGTCAATATATACGGAAAGGCAATATTCACTCACACAACCAGAGTGAGTCACTGGCGTATAAATTCAAATTAATGTTCTATTTACCTTTGATAATATTTAATCCAACTTGCACATACTAAACAAAAAGTGACTGGCTGTATACCAGAATATCTACAAAGCCATACTACACTGGAGTCGTTGCATGTAATTCATGCGAACCAGTATTCGCATGAATTACAGCTGTTTAAGTTCAACTTTAATGTAACCAGAGCAAGACGAAAAGTTCACACCTTTAATAACTGTATCTATTAACTTTCACAGGCAGATTATAATTGAAATAACTTAAGGCTTAAGTGATTGAATTTATTTGAGTCAATATTTATTTATGAAAGCAGAGCGCTCTTCATAGTTCTTCATAGCTTCATAGTACCACAGTTTAATGAAAGAAGCAAAAAATGTATCTATTCTCTTTTCCACTTCCATTATTTATGTTGGACTACTGTATCATATAAAACCCCATTAAAACACATGTGTCAAAATGTAAAAATAAAGTGATGAAATGCCCTTTTTAAAAGCAATATGTGATTTAGAATTTGCAGGGTCGGTCAAAACTTAACTACTAAACTGAAGTTTTGCACATCAAAGTCCCAGAAGTAGAGAAAGTATGGTTTATGTATGGCATAGCTCTGATTATAGCCTCCCCGGTTCTGTTGGTGGTCCTGGCTTTTACTGAATATCAGCTTCAGCTCATATTTTACCACATTTTAGCCTCCTCCCTTCTCATGCACCACTTTTTCTTCTCCCCCCTCAGCGACCACAGCACAAGGCGTCACTCATCTGCTCATGAGAGCAGCCATTGACTTGAGTTTGACTCCTCATCTCTAAAAAGGGGGTAGACTGGGTGGAGCCAGCCATTTCACAGAAAAACCATTTGCCAATGCTGAGTGGGCGGCCTGGTTTATGTTACCATGCAACTGCGAAAAAAAAAAAAAAGAAGCACACTAAGGCATAATATTTACACTGTTGCTTTATTTTCCGAATGCACCTCCAAGAGAGAGGGTGAAGAAGTGTGTGCTCTAATACATAGAGGGAAGACGAAGGGTGGAGAGAGGGATATGTGGCCTGCAGACGCGTGGCTGCATGTCGCCCCCAACCAAAACAGAGTACTTTCTGGGTCCGCACATTTTCCTTCTCAGGTGAGGTTAAGTGTTCCACCCTGAAAAAAGTCACCTTGTTGACATCACGCACTCCCCTTATTAGTTATTCTGACCTCCTCTGGAGAAGTTCACCCCACTCTTGGCCAGCTGTGGCATCTGCGACGCACGCCCCCTCCCCAAAACCACGCAGGTCGTCCCCCTCTGGCCAGCGGAGTCTCCCCCTGTTGATGCGTTGCAGCTTTTTCTGCTCTCACTTCACTGCGCCTGGGTTTCTAAGTCCTCCTTTCGTCCGCCTTCTGAGCCTGTCAACTTAGTGTCTGTCTGTCTGTTGTGCTTTTCAGCTGCACCTGGTTTGAATTACTGTGCAAAATTTAGCCTTTGAGTCTGCGGCGATGGATTGCTCTTGAATAGTAGAGTGGAACCAATTTCAGAGGTGCAAATGAGAAAAAAAAAAAACCTCTGTACTCACTGAAGGCAGAGAAAAAAAAAATCGTTTGAGAGATTTTACACAACACTTTTATATCAAAGAAATCCAATGTGAAAATAGCTCATTCTACAAAGCTGTATGATAGTATTCAATCCTTTAAAAATAAACTAAGTTTCTTCTTCATCCTAGAAGGATTTGACTACTGTAGACGGACTTTCTAATCTGAACTGTTGTAATGACACATACCACCCCCCTCCCCTTCTCTCTTCAGCTCAGACATCAGCAGTGGAGCTTGGTGATGGAAAGTGCTGTTCCGTCTGATCGGGGAAACTATACCTGTGTGGTGCAGAACAAGCACGGCACTATAAGCCACACCTATCAGCTGGATGTTTTAGGTAAACTTCTACTTTAATCTTTTTCCTTCTTTTAGAGTTTGGTTAATCCCTGGTGTTCCCCAAGGCTCTATACTTGTACCTTCCTTATTCAGTCTTACATAAACATTTTTATGCCAAAACAAATTTCAATTCAATGTTTATTTTACTTAACGGTCAATGATTACAGCCTCTATTACTGCCTGAAGTTTTGGGGTTTCTGTATTTTTTTTTATAAGTTTAATTTTTTTAAAGCATAATTTCTAAAAGTTTTAAATGACAAAAATAAAGGTCATAGGTTTTGTGTTGAGGGCAGTTTCTTTAGGCTTTTATTTTGTTTGTATCAAAATTATAAAATTTTGACTAGATTTGAGATATATATTGTGATGTTAGTTTTTGCCATATCATCTTGCTCCACTCGGGAGTTCATTTTGATGGCAACCTCACTTTGTTAAGAGCCGTGTTAATTGGACAAAGCTTTAATAGAATTATTCTAAATGTTAATAACTAGCTCTTAAATGTGGCACAAACAGCTCCTGTTTTTCCTATGGGGTTAAGATTTCATTTTTCAGCTAGGGCTTCTTATAATACAGGGAATATTTTATCTGTCCAATCTGGTTTAAAACCTTATATAGCTGTTACATTATTTCTTGCCTAATTAATATGTCCATGTCTCCCTTAGAGCGATCACCTCACAGGCCAATTCTGCAGGCCGGCCTGCCAGCCAATCAGACAGTGGTGGTGGGCAGCAACGTGGAGTTTCACTGTAAGGTTTATAGTGACGCTCAGCCGCACATCCAATGGCTCAAACACATCGAGGTGAACGGCAGCCGCTACGGTCCTGACGGCGCTCCCTATGTGAACGTACTAAAGGTGGGTTCAGATGAGTCTGCCTGGAGCCAGGCTCAGCTCGTGATCATTTTACTCAGTTCATTTTTCCCCAGATGTCTTTTTTAACAAGCCTTTGCAGAAGGTGGGTCTACAGGACCCACAGGTTTACTGAGCCATATTTAATTGAAGAGCTCATCTTTCTGCTAACACTAAAGCATCATTACAAGATGCTGGAGTTTGTGAAACTGTAAACCCATTAAGCAATGATATTGCTGCAAATCAAAGCAGTCATTTCTGCTCTTTCTCTGCATCATCTCAATGCTCTTTTGGAAGAGTGTTCCCGTCACAATGTCCAATTACTAGATGGTCTCGTTTCATAAGCAGCTTTGGTTCTCAGGAATAGAGCATAAAATGTTTCTTCAGGACAAAAACTTAAACCCATTATTAACTCAAAATTGGAAGACTCCTGTCGCAAACCAACAGGGCTTTTGCACCCCAAGCTTTTTTTTTTGTCTTTCCCTCTGGAGAGAAGAAATAAAAACAAACATCTGGTTTGGACTAAGCTAACTGCTGTGGTGGCGGCAACGCAGGGAGGGAGACAGGCTCAGTTAACCACCGCTGCCGTCAGATGTGCTGCGTCGCGTGGTTTGAGGAGGAGGAGAGAATGAGAGAGCAAAGAGGCACCCAAAAAAGCCATGGAAAAAATGAGTTGGGATACTGAAGGAAGGGCAAAGTCAGCAGGGAGAGAGTGAACGTGTGACAGAGGGCTGGGGTTAGATGAAGGCTTGTGTGAGAAAAGAGACAAAAAGGGGTATGACCACAGAGCTAGAATGAAAGACAGAGCATTTTTCCACAGCTGTAGTCATCGATTGTTTTGCTTTTGTCTCAAATATCAATGTCTGAATAAATTATGATTCTCCCTTAACCATACAAAGGTTTCATTTGATGAAACTAAAGTTTTATAAGGGGTTTGAATTGCTTTTGAAGAGTGAATGAAAAATTAACAATACTTATAAAAACTAAAAATAACAATACAAAACTGTTCTAAAAGAACAGCAATCAGTGTAGAAAGTTTAATGTCATAGGTGGCCAAAATGTAAAACAATGAAAAGCCTTTAGAATAACCGCTGTGTCCACCAGATATTAGCCAAATCCATTTCTTCAAACTATAATTGGATTAAAATGTTATATTTTGTATTAATAAAAAGGTTTTTAGCTTTAAACAAAAACACATATAATTATGTACTATTTAAAACATAAAGGCTATTATTATTTCTACTATAGTTAAGAAAATGTCTGGTATTTTATCTAGCGTTAATAGCTTCTAAAGGGATCCAGGACTAGTTAATATGTTGGCTTAACTATGTTCTGATTTTTCTATTAATGTAAAAAGCTACTGACACTCGTGGCAGGAAAAAAAAAATCATATTTGCTTAATTGCATCCAGATATACATCCGGGTCACCCTATATTTTACGAAAAATTTTAGAAAAAAAATACCTAAATTACATTTTTCCCTCCCCAAAAATGCTAAGCGTACTAAAATATAATGTGTTAAAAGTTATTCATGTATTTCCTGAGAAAATAAATGAGAAACTAGCCCTGAAGTAACTAGCATTTACCCAGAGTGCATTGCAGCACAGACATCTATTTGATTTTAATTAATTAAAGCTAAACGTCTTGTAAAATTTTTAAAATATTGTATTAAAAAAGTATTTCTCAAATAACGTCTGTTGTTAAAACTAATGGATCCCTTTAAGTGTTCGTATCTTTATGTCGTTTCGCTCTTTAGAACTAGAACAAAAACAAGCGTCCCCTGTTTATGCTACCTTTACATAACCATGACTGCAGTTGGTTATTCATTTACCATGCATTTAAATTGTCAATAGTTTAATTGATGTAAATTTTCATGCAAAGAAATCCTTCTGAGCGCTCAATAAAAAAAAGTTAACTTATAAATCATCCAGCAGACTTACGGAGAGTGTGAGAAAGTGATTTATTTTTATTAGAAAAAACAAGATGAAGTCAAGAGATGGATAAGCAAAGGGACAGACAGTGTGAAGAGGGGGAAAGCAAGTCTGTTGGCCCAGACTGCGGCTCCAGGCTCTATTTTTCGACCACCGCATAATTGAAACAGTATTTACAGAAACTAGTGTGTGCCTCTCTATCTGGACTAACCACAGCTCATTCAGACATGATATACTTTCCTATGTGTGGCATAGACTGCAGCATTTAAACACAGCTCAGGGTTTGAGAAGGGTCCCTCTTCTTTTTTTTTTTTGTAAGATCCGCCTGAATTAATCTTTGGTGCCTGGAAAAATGCTTTACGACAAAGCAGTGGTTCTGCATGCCAAAAGAGAAGAGTCAAACCCTTAATGTTTATTTAGCAAGCATTAAAACACAATTTGATTTCTCTTTAATGTGTTTCACTGGGTTAATAGTTGAGGTATATAGAGGGCAGCTTAGAGCTGGTATGTAATCACAGATGCATTAATGTGTATGAGATTTTATACCACACCTGAGTTTTTAAATTGCAAGTCTAAGTCAAATCTTTTGTTCTTTGATTTCCTGTAAAATATTTTAGTCACAATTTCCCTAAAGACTTCATCTCCAAGCTGACATTTCCAACAGTTACGGCTGCTCAGTCAGCTCAGCTCATACAATAAAAGGTTTTCTTTAGCTGCTGCAGGTTTTTGTGACAATGCCTCACTGTGCCTCTTGATTTTCCTTTCACAGAGTAATGTCAGTAAACACAAAGTGACTCACAGTAGACTGAAACTGTCCAACGTGACAGATAAAGATGCTGGGAAGTACTGGCTTCGTGCTTCAAACTTTGTAGGCACGTCGGAAAAAGCTTTCTGGCTTATGGTACACAAACCAGGTAAATACTGAGCTCTCGGCCAGAGCCACCTTCGCCACACCTGATGCTCTCCGCTGCTTGCCCTCCCCTGCAATGCTCCTCTTGGTTGTGGGTCTGCTTGACTTGCTAATAGCACAAACATCCACACAGACACACATCCGTCAAACGAGTTGATATAATCACATCTTGCTAGTGAGTAGCTATCATTCATTCTAACTCCAAAGGGCCATGTTGACCCTAATCAATAACAAACACAACATTGCATTCTTAATTATGACGATGGCTTCAAAAGGCTCACCCTGACACAAAATGCACTATAAACCTAAAAGCCAGCTATAAAACCCTCACTGACCAGATCTTTTTCAAACACACACACACAGATTATTATTGATTTCCCAGAGAAGGCATTCACCACCAATATTAATGGGCTTTTACATCAAAGTATGCAGCACAGCGCTGTGATGGCAACATTCCTTACTGAGGCACTTTGACTCCTCCATACTGCTCTAATGTTAGTTAATGTTGAAAAACTCATAGCTCAGGTGATATCAGGCTGAAACTATAAATCGCATTAATCCTGATTAATCGATTATTGAAATAAACGTCAACTGAGACTCATTACATTTAAGATTATAAAATCCTCTTTATATGCGTATATATAACATTGCTTTTATATGTACATATATTTTTTGTTTCGCCATTTAAAATACATTTAAAATGTGCGATACATTTCTTTCCTAATTCCAAACTTCTTTTTATATTTAGAAATATTAATTTGCAAGTATCTTGTTTTAGACTAATCGACAAGATTTAAATGAATAGCTCAAGATTTTTGGAGAGGATATTTTTTTAAACAAAACAGAAATTCAACTTGCTTTTGGCCATCGTTGCTAACTTAAAGAATAATAGGGTATCGTCTGAAACAGCGCACGTCAAAATGTGGTTGCCCATTTGTGGAGTTCTTTGCAGCCATATTTATACCATTTCCTCCCAATTTTTTTTTTTTTTTTTTTTTTTTTTTACCTCTGCTGTATTTTTCATGGTTGAATGGGGAAAGGAAGGTAGGAGCTTTGTTAGTGTCTCAGTTTGAAAGTGCTTATCTTTTACCACTCTGTGCTGTTAAATAAATCCCATTAAAAGCTCTGCTCAATAACTCACAGATACTCAAGCCTTTGACCTTTACCAATCTTCCTCGATTGAAGGAATTGTCTGAATTTTCCATTGGAAAAAGCCCTACTGACCCTTGAAAATATTTATATATATATAATTCAGTTGAGCTCAGATGAAAAGTTTTCCTTTTTTCTCACAGCGTGGTATCTGGGCCTCTTTGGTGTCTCTTAAGCTGGTGGTGGCGGCAAAGCTGAATCCTCGGCCCTCTCCTTTTCTCCAGGTTGTGTCGGGTGTTTACTCTAAAAATCCTTCGGGCTCATGGATTCTCCTCTCTGTCCTCTTCTGTCTCTATGCCCCTTTCATCCTCCACAGACGGCCGGTATTAACACAACAGATAAGGAGCTAGAGGTTCTCTTCTTGACCAATGTGTCTTTTGAGGATGCGGGAGAGTACACTTGTCTGGCAGGGAATTCAATCGGCTTTGCTCACCACTCCGCTTGGCTGACGGTGCTTCCAGGTATATCCCTCTTTACTACACGGGACTCTTGTTGATTCTTGTTCATCTCTTTCATCTTTCTCTCAGGCAAATGTCTACTGAAGTGTTTATGCAGTGTTATGTTTTGCATTGCTCTTTAATCTGATTACTGTACATTTTAGTGCATCATTACCAACAGTTAGAATTTGTTGAGTACATGTTATTATGCTTTTATTTGAAAGGACAAGGCATGAAATTGAAAGCCTTTCTAGCTTTTGATCAGTTTAAATCATCTCTTCAAACATCTTCAGGCTATGAGACAGCTTAAAATACCCCTGTGCTTTATGTTAAAGACTGTAATTGCTTCCATGAGGAGAAACAGCTATAATTACTTGCTGCACTTCTAAACTAGTGGTGATGCATGTTTCTTTACTCTGAAAAAAATTGGTTTCTGATTTGTTTCTGCAACTAAAAGAAAAAGTGAAGTAGATTTTTGGACTCTGAAAGCTAAACTGTCTCTAATGTGTTTGAACCCCCTCCTTTGAAAGCAGTGAACTCAAGCAAAGATGACTACTACGCCGACATCCTCATCTACCTGACGGGCTGCGTGCTCTTCGTCTTCGCCGTAGTTATCGTCTTCCTCTGCCGCATGAGGATGACCACGCAGAAGACTCTTCCCACACCTCCTGTGCAGAAACTGTCAAAGTTCCCCCTTAAGAGACAGGTAACAGAAAGTAGATACAAGATTTGCACAATCTTCCAACTCCTTTTCTCTCTTCTTACTTGTTTAGATTTGTCCAATTGGATGCAGAAAATCAGAGTGAAGTTATATATCATTAGGTTGAAAAAAAAAAAAACAATCTCCAGCAGATATAAGTCCAAATTTATATTTTTCACAGCAAAAGTATTCACACCCCATATCTTCACCTCTCTAAGGTATTATTTTTTTATTGGGCAAATTATCTTGAAATCTAAAAAGAGCAAACAATATATTAATTGCATGGCATTTATTTATTCACTGGAAAAACTAAAATGTAATTAAGTGAGTTTTTCTTGAAACTGTATTTTCCCTTTTAGACAATATTCAAACAGAATAGGATAAACTCCTTTTAAAATAATAAGGAAAAAGAAATGTGTTTTCTTATTCCAAGTTCATATGTTATATCTTATGTTTTTGTGCAAAACTACTCTTTCAGTTGGCACATCATAATTATCATCTCAAATTAAGCCAAATACCACTCTTATTTTAAATAATGCCTTTTTGGATCAGTTTTTGCATTGTATTCTGTAATCTTACCTATAAGTAAAATCCTGGGCCACAAATCTGCTTTAGAGGTCACCTGCAGCTACAGCTTTTCATTAAAGGCTTCAGGGGTTTATTAGTGTAAAAGCAGCACCATTAAAAGCACCTTCCCCACAGAGTTGCAGAGCGGTAGGGGCATCATGCTGTGGGGATGCCTTTCTTCAGGGACAGAGAAGGTAGTCAGAGTTGGGCCAGTAGAAAAAGCTAAGTACTGGTTGATCCTGATAGAAAGCCTGTTCAATCTAAATCTGTTGTGTTTTTAATGTTGTTGTCAGCAGACCTATCTCTTTCAATCAGCTTCAATAATTTGAAGCTGATTGAATTTGAAATTGAATTTCAGTTTAGACAAAAGACCTGCAGCTTTATTTGCAGGGAAAGGTGCTGCTATTGATACTGGGGCAATTCACTCAAAACAATCAGCAATAATTGGAAAACATTCAAAAACTGCATTATTTCTATTGGACTTCACAGTTATGCCTTGAGAAATTCAAATTTGATTCTTTCAATCACATTTTTGTATTTGATAATAGATCTTGGCACTCCGTATGTCTCAGGAACCACATCACAGTTGTCAAAAAACTTCAGACACCCCACTTTTTGTCTAACCACCCCCACTTTGGGACCTACTGTATTTGATAAATAAATAAATTATACATTTTTCTATTTACTTTATTCACAATTATGTATTTCATTGTATATTTTGCCCTCCATATACCTCAGAAATCAGATCACAATAATGAAAGCATCATGTGACCCTGCACTTGGTGTCTCGCTACTCCCTTGGGGTCTGCACTAAACTAACATGGTATCTTCAGCAACCCTAGTAAGCGCAAAATGTGGAAAACTGAACTCATTTCCAGATTCTACATAACACACAAATGGACTCAGTCATGTATCACACACCTGTCTGTCATGGATCTTCCCCTTGTCCTGCTGGGATACTGTAAGGCATCACTGGTGACATGTGTTCACATTTATCTTGGAGCAGATTCAGCACATGGATATTTATGCCCTCCTCCAACTGTCAGTGTCAGTTTTAGATTTCACCGTGTGTGTAACACACACTCTCTCACACTCAACTGTTTGGAGAGAAACACGAAAGTTGAAGCAGCTGCCTCAGCACAACCTGCAATTGGAAGAATCCTTTATGTCTCTTCCTGCTGGGGGCTGCTTCTAAAACAAGCTGGAGGTAGATCCAAGACTCCATTCAGAAAAACAAAGTCAGGTCTTGAAGGAAACTTTGACCGAAATCGTGTTATGTTTAAAAATGGAATCAGAAACTGGTTCAAAACAAGGTTGAATTAATCAATATTTATCAATTAATTCTATTCCTTTATAGTAGAGAAAATTCTCTATTGTTAAAAAGCAATAAGACATTAGACATAAAGGAACCAACATTCGGGACTCTGTGTCCAGAATATATGCTGTAAAGCTATTTTGATCAAATTCCAGCTTTCTGGCTTTGTGCTTGACAGGTTGCTCACCTCAAATTATACTTCTAGAAGCGTTCCTGGAAAACAACAAAGCAGAGATTCTTTTACTTTAAGCGTTCTGTTTCTGAGATATAACGAAGAGTCTTTTTTGGAGTCAGGAGGATTATCAGACAGTCCTTTCTAATTTTTCCACCTTCGAGTGCATGGTCTTATAAGGCAGCAGAGGGAAAGTTCTTATTGCATTTTTCTATAATCTTTGCTTCAATTTTGTAAGGCTAATCTCCAAGTTCTCTCCTCTCTTTTCATAACTCAAAGTAAATCTCCTGTAAACCTGCAGGCATGTTCTGTCAGATATTACTTTCATGCTTCAAATTAGAACTGTTGCTTTTTTTCTTTTCTCTTTTTTTGCTTTCTAAAGTCATATTTCTCATATTCTACAGTTATGACTTGTTGTAGGTAGTAGGTGGCGTTGCACCCCCTTTTTCCCCCAAAGGGGACGGTTCAGTATACTGACACAAACATATTTATCAAAATCCTAGGACTCAGTTCCCCACCCCCCACCCCGAAGCTGTAAGATAAAAGGTGAGAGAAAGTACCTAAAATCTTAAGCTGGAGATCAATGATGAATATAGATGGCTGACCAGCCTCCAAACCCTTTCACACACTTCTAATTCCTCCATTTGCAGAAGTGGTCGCCAGCTCTGGATGTCCGTCTTGAAATGCTCTAATGTACACCAGAGGTCCTCAACATTGGGAAGGGTCTTAAAGTGCCTTAATCAATGCTTTTATAAGTTACCTTAAAAAAACTTTCATCTTTAGCAAAACGGTATCCAACGCCTCATCTTAGATGTTTGTGCTTATTAAAGTCACACGCTTCAATGCCGGACTCCTTTGTACAACAGTAGATGCCATAAAGAGATGATGAGTGGGAAAGAGGCAGTTTCAAGATGTTTTTAAGTGAGAGAGTAGACTTTAAAACTTAAATCAGGATTATTATCCTGGTAAACGCCCATATACCAGTAGACGCCCATATACCAGTAGGGAAGGCGGTCAATGGGAATCCAGCAATAGCTCCCTCAGCCGGCCAGGCAATTAGAGATTTCATGGTTCTGATCGTAGCGGTTAGAAGTCAATATAAGCATATTTTAGGTATGCGGTAAGAAACATGAAAAACTGAATATAAAATCTTACATACTACATTGGCAATTTTGCATATATTATGCAGGTCATTTCTTAACTGATTCACCACAGTCCAGTAAAACAATATTTTGCTGGAGATCTCATCTCATCTCATGGCTTTTCATGTTAACCTATCAGAGTTGAAGACCTTTAGATATATATATTCCATTTTATATGAATGTTTTATGCTGACAGCTCTAGGGAAACAGAGATCACAGCTTGGATACAGTGTCTGTCTCCCTGCCAGCTACCATATAAGCTTCTCTGATTGGTTGATGTGCATCAAAACTTGGAAGGTCAAAACACACTGCTCGAAACGTTTTAGGATGCATTGAAATGTGCTGCAGGATCTCTCGACACCCCTTGATCTGCATCCACCAAAGACACTGCATTCAAAGTGCAGAACTCAGGATAGGTCCTGATGTCGGTGTTATTCTAGATTTATTTAATTTCATTGTCTTTTTTTTAGGTGGTTATTACTTCTAAAACCTCCTGGGAAAAAGCTTCTATCCTGCCACTTGCAAGACAGATATTGCTCTCAGGCTCTTGCTCCCTCTCTGTTTATCAGTCTGGAGGTTCTGGATTAAAAACATTCACCCTCCCCTGCTATAGGATTGTATATGGAGTCTCAGTAACCCTCTCGTTGGATTATGATTTAACCCTATTATTAATTTCAGATCTTTTAAGCGTGTTTATGATCAAAAAGGGAAGATTTTAGCAGAAAATGTAGTCAAATGACGAAATAAAGACTGAATGTAGTAATTCACTTTTCTTTCTACCTCCTTGTTTAGGTGTGTTGTACTTTTTTCAGAATCTATAACAGATATTTTTTTTATTTTGCACCCAAGCAGGTTTCCTTGGATTCTAACTCCTCCATGAACTCAAACACCCCTCTGGTCCGGATTGCTCGGCTGTCATCTAGTGATGGGCCCATGTTGGCCAACGTCTCAGAGCTGGAGCTGCCCTCCGACCCTAAATGGGAGTTTCCCCGTACAAGGTGAGAAGGAACAGCAGCACTAAGGGATATGTTTTAGCAGGGCAGGGAACCTGTTCTGTGCTGTGTAGCTGTCTGCGTAAAAAAAAACAATTAATACAAACATAGTCCGACTTCTTGAACTTTTTGATATGTCACAATACAATGACAAAATTCTACGAGTTTTTAGTAATAGAAGAAAAAACACAAATGGTATTCTTTTTTTCTTTTTTTTTTACAAAACATAAAAAGATATATATTTTTTTCTTTACATTTTTTTTTAATAAAACAAAAACATTAAGGTGTGCGCTAGTTTCCAATGGAACAAAGGATTTTAATTCCCAGGCTTGAGTAAGTGGTTGGTATCAAAGGCAAAGTTTTATCTGGGTTTGAATCCCACCTGAAGAATAGAAGCTTGTCTCTTAATTTAGAAGATGTTCTTCTAAGGCTTCCTGACTTTTGGGGTCCCCCAAAGGTCTATTCTGGGTCCGCTACTTTTAAATCTCTATATCACTTTGGTTTCCATTTTTTAGAAAAGATAATATCCTCTTCCATTGCTTTGCTAATGAAGTTCAAACATATCTGCAAAGTAAGCAAGACAGTGTCGATTCTTTGCTGTTACATTTTTTTCTCATTATGATAGTTATAAAGAACATTTATTTTTTTCATGCTCATATTGTTGTTATCTTGTTTTATTTCAAAGTGAAGCACTTTGGTCATCATCTGTTGTGCTATACAAATAAATGGACCCTAAAATTGTTTATGATTTCTTGTACCTGAGCTCTGCTGCTCCTCCAGATTTATTGTGAGCCTATTGATAGCTCCCTGTTGTCCAGAGTGTCCATTAAGGTGGAAATGCTTTTATCTGCTCTACATTTTTTCTAGCAGTATTGGAGTATAGGACTCTGAACTTAAAAAAAAGCAAGGCGCACTCTTTTTTCCATTTGTATTTTTGCACTACTCTGAGTTGGTTTTAAACATAAAATGCCAATAAAAACACTGCAGCTGTCAAGTTATATTATGGAAAACACCTTTCAGCCATTGTGGAGGTTATGGGGAATTTTTAAAGCAAGTAGTCAAGAGTTTGGGGATTAAAAGGATTTGTGTTTTCAGGTTAACTCTGGGTAAACCTCTGGGGGAAGGCTGCTTTGGTCAGGTGGTCATGGCAGAGGCCGTCGGCATTGACAAGGAGAAGCCCAACAAGCCTCTGACCGTTGCTGTGAAGATGCTAAAAGGTTACCTATCACCATACCTGCCCTTAACAGAATATTATATTTACATAATGTCTAATACAGACACCAAAAATAAATAGAGATATCAGCAATGTTTCTGATACTGGCACTATTTATTTTCCCAGATGATGCAACAGATAAAGATTTGTCAGATTTGGTGTCAGAGATGGAGATGATGAAGATGATAGGCAAACACAAGAACATCATCAACCTGTTGGGAGCATGCACTCAAGATGGTGAGCCTCAATATAAAATGGAGAAATATTAACTCCTAGAGGGAAAAGATATCTGAAAAGCAATTCTCTGTCTCGTAGGTCCTCTCTACGTCTTGGTTGAGTATGCTTCAAAGGGGAACCTGAGGGAGTACCTCAGGGCAAGGCGTCCTCCGGGCATGGATTACTCCTTTGACACCTGCAAGATCCCTGACGAGCAGCTCACGTTTAAAGACCTGGTGTCCTGTGCCTATCAGGTCGCCCGAGGCATGGAGTATCTGGCCTCGCAGAAGGTCAGCCCCACCACTCTCTCTCTCTCTCTCTCCTACTTTGTGAATCATTTATTTTTGGTTATTACATGTGAAGGATTCTGTTTTATAGCAATACAAACAAATACGTCACTGATTCGATAAAATTCAGGAAAACATTCAGGTTGCAGTTGCTGTAGCTTTAATTGGTGATGCAGAATATGGTTTTACAACAATATTGGAAATATTCAATGTATTATTCATCATTTTAAAAGCTGAGGCAGTAAAGATGTTCTAATCAAAGATTTGTGACCAAGAATTATTAGTTTCTTCTTTTTTCAGCAATTAGCATGATTACAACATGTTGAACCTTACCTTGTTTTGACCATATATATCATGATTCTTTTGAAGTTAAATTGTCTTACTGTACCAGAAGCTTATTGCACTTATTTCATGTACAATCTTCTTATAAGAAGATATATAATCTAAAAGAATCAACGTTTGCTTAGTATATCAATCTAAAAAGTTTAAAAGGTTGTAAGGATGCACCCTTAAACTGTGATTATTAAAGTGCTTCCATGACAGGAGAAAGTCAAGTTAGAAAGTCAAGTTAAACAAATGGAAAACAAATGAACATGTATATTTCTTACACATATGAAATATATCTCTTATGTCATTTGTAATACTATTAAATATGTTACATCTTTTTTTTTGTTTTTCCCTATAGTGTATCCACAGAGATCTGGCAGCCAGAAACGTTCTTGTGACGGACGACAACGTCATGAAAATTGCCGACTTCGGTCTCGCCAGAGACGTGCACAACATAGACTACTACAAAAAGACCACAAATGTACGTTTTCATAATAATTTCATCTTTATATTATTGGATTTAGCTGTCGCTGCATTTCTGCTACAGCAGATTACATTGTAGAATACAAAGTGGCACATGATGTAAACTGACCTGCACTCCTGATTATAAGTTTCTTGCAGCCTGTAACAGGATTTATTTTAGGGTGTATCTTGTCATCCGATTTGAGAAAATGCCTTTCACTGTAAAAACTGTTCTAAAAGATGACTAAAAGAAAAACAATTCAAAAACAGACAAGGTAAATTTGATGATCTGCCGATGAAATTAGTATTTTTAGCCTTAAGATTATTAGATAGAATGCACTTCAAATAAGATAATAGGGTTGTTGTTTTTTTCTTATTTTAAATCATTTAAATCATCTTGCTCCACTGGCAAATTGCCTTACCTACCTGCTCAAACATCACAAAATACATTTATTTCAAGAAAATAGAATTAATTACATTTACATTTTTGCAATGCACTACTTTCTGTCTGACACATACAAAAAATACAATAAAATGTGTGCAGTTTTTCTTTTCTTTCTTTACAGCATTCCATGTTGTCTTAGTTGTCTAAATTTATGTGACTGAAAATAGGTAATTGAATTTAAGATGTGTATCTTGTTGTCAACACATACATACTTGTGAAATCAGATGTTATATCTGTAAGAGTAGAAGTTTTGCCATTATGACTAAATTGCATCTTTTTATAAGAGCTGATACAGTTCACAAATTTACGAGTAAAAAAATCAA